AAAAAAAACATGGCATTAGACTAGGATTAGGGTCACATATAGCCTGGTTATTTGTCGCTCGTTTCCAGCTCGTTGACTCTCACCACCCCCGTCTTCCTCTCTGGCGTCTCGAGTCGAGTCTTCGCCTGAAAAATCATCGTCGTTGCTGACGTGTGTGGGTCCTACATGCTTCGTCTTCATCGCAGCGTCGTGATCTTCAAACAAGTATGCCTCTAATCGTCTTGCTCGGGCCGGTCTCACTTATTGTCAGACAGCTTCTACACCTCTTGATTATGATGTTCGTCTTACTCCACTTGATGACTCTCTTGAGGATCCTACATTATATCGTCAACTTGTTGGAAGTTTGATATATTTGACTGTCACTCGGCCTGATATAACTCATGTTGTTCATATTGTGAGTCAGTTTATGGCTTCTCTGAGAACCACGCATCATTCTGATGTGTTGCACATCATTCGCTATGTGAAGGGCACTCTATTGCATGGTTTACACGTCTCGGCTCGTTCTTCCTTGACACTTAGCGGTTATTCTGATGTTGATTGGGCTGACGATCCTGTGGATCATTATTCTATTACAGATTACTCCTTTTTTCTGGGTGATTCACTCGTCTCTTGGCGCAGTAAGAAGCAAAAGTTAGTTTTCAAGTCCAGTGCTGAGTCTTGGTATTGTGCTTTTGCTGATTCCACCTCAGGGCTATTATGGCTGCGTCGACTACTTGATAATCTTGGTGCACCTCAGTCGTCGTCTACTGTTCTACATTGTGATAGTCAGAGTTTTATCAAGATGTCTTATTATGATACCTTTTTCGAGCGCACCAAACATATTGAGATTGATTGTCACTTCATTCGACAACATATTGCCCATGGGACTGTGCAACTTGTTTCAGTCTCCTCTACAGATCAAACAACCGATGTCTTCACGAAGTCTCCCCTTCCCGGTCGCTTTTGTTTACTTCTTAGAAAACTCAAGTTGATCTCCAGTGTACCAACTTGAGTTTGAGCGGCGGGGAGGGGGGAGGGGGAGTGGGGGAGGGGGGTATTTGTTATAATTGTTGTATTATATATTGTAGGGTCAGATTTATAGGCACAACCTAAGACCCATCTTATGTCTTTATATACATGTACATAGCCTTGTGTTAATAAAAGAAATCATATATTTTCTCACTTCTTAATTACAATTTTAAACCACATTAGTATTATACCCTGTGAATTTGCACAATTGTAAATAAAGTATTATAAGATATTTTCATGAATATAATATTGAAATTATAAATTATATAATTGTATTATATTATAACATAGAGTATTGTAAGTTATATTTATGCATATAATAATAAAATTATAAATTAGATAATGGTATTATAATTAATATATGATAATTGGTTAAAATAAATAGTGCTTAACAATTTGATTGCATATGAATTACTATATTGGTTGCATAAATGTCATAAATAATGTAATTTTCGTAAATTTGAGGAATCATATGAACAATTAATTAACTAAAAAATATTAAATTTACAATAACAACTGCTTGTACAATTTTTTTTTTTTTAAAATTACTATGATATTAATGCAAATTAATTTATTTGAAAAAACAATCGTTTAATCAGATAACAAACATAATATTGATTATTCACATGTGCATATAAGTTGTCTATTTTTTTAATCTCATATAATATCTTTTAACAATTTTTTTTTTGTTTTTTTTTTTGGGGGTACAATGAGAGAAAATAGCT